TTTTTCCCCAAATCCCAGGCCACTACAGCCAGTTTTCAAAAACTTACTCTGTCTGACTGGTCATCCCCCCCCCCCCCACAGGCAAATGTAATAGTGCAGCCTGTCCCATGGGCCACCAGGCAAATGTCCAGTCCCCTTCCCATTGACCTAAACACCACCAAAATGGGGCTTGAAAGCTTTCCCTCCATTCAAGCTCCTGCTCCTGCATTCCCTGCTTTACAAGTTCAGAAATTTCTCCTGAGATGCTGATTTGTACTTAAAAAAAAAAAATAAAAAGAACTTATACTTGGAAAGCTTGCTGCAAGATTATATGATGATGTAATTATTTATTCAGTCCCAGCTGAGCTTATAGAATCCAAAAGCTTTAAAAACCTGTATCTACAGTTATAGATTTAGACAGCACTCCCCCCATCATTTACACACATGACCCCCAAATATTTAAGTTCAAGATCTTTTTTTTTGATGTAACTGTGTTGTCTCTATTTTGACATTCTTGAAGCAACCCTAGTGAAGTTTAAGATTAAAATCACAAGTCTTGCAGTTCAGACAAGGAATAAAACATAAACTCTAAAGGTGATCTCATGTGCCCAGAATTATCCCTTTAAAGATCAAATTAGTTTAAATACGGACCAAACAATATAGCATTTAGAAAGAGAGCTTCTCTTTACCCTCTCTTAATGCAATAAAGGATAAATTTCATCTTTATTATTAACAATACCATTTAAGCCAATGCATTTTTTTCATGCTATTTCCTCTTCTTAATCTGGGAATACAACTATTTATAACAATAAATATGCAGGAAATAATGGTAATAAATTATGATCACAGTCTGTTGTCTTAGAACAAAGGAAGCCCAGAATAATATGTTGTCCATTGTAGGGACTTAATTTGTGGAATTTTTCTGCAAGATGAACTTAACAACTCCTGAAGAGTTTTTACATTTGCATGGTTTAGGTCAGTAGCCATTGCACGGAGGTAGCTTGGAGGAGGGATTTATGTAGCCCTCCCATAACCATCATCAGCCTTGCATCAGAAAAGTCCCAAACAGAATGCAACTGAAGTGGAACACCGTGTATCCTAGTCAAATTTGGCTCCAAAACAAGTCCCCAGACTTGTGTCCCCAACAGACTATGTCTTAAAGCTGCTCCTATATTGACAGTCTAGAGACACTGCTGGTCCTAATATCACTGTGTTTATATCCTCACAATATCTGCCATTCTGCCTTTTAAAGACGTTATGTCATAGTTTGGACATAAGAGCATAGAGGTGGGGAGTCCACACACACACAAAGAAAACATAAAACAAGCCATTTTGTCCAAGAGGCTTATTTGCATAAAAATGTCAGTGACCTGTTTTATGATCTTAATTGAGCTACATAACTTTTCTGGGTCTCAATTTCTCCACTTGTAGAATGAGGAGCTTGAAAAGGCTGATCCCAGAAGTGCTCTGCGATGCTCAGAGCCTCAGATTCCTGGTTTCATCAAATACATGAATCTGGATTGCTTATCAAAATCTGCTACTAATCCTGTGTGCCTGGGTCCATTTTTGTTATCTTTTACCATTTTTCTGGAAGTGAGGACCCCTTACAGAGAAGGATAATTATAGAGAATGGACTCCCTTAGGTGGAGTCCCCTGGCTCTGCACCATTCCCCCTTGATTCCACCACCATCAAATGAAAAGCTGCCTGGGATGAAGACAGCTACGGAGTCACACATCCAGTGGGACAAACTAACTCGGTGACGTAAGAAGCAAACCACTTAGGCTTATCTCAAGTCTCACTTCCTTCCTTTACTCATGCTCACAGAAGAAACAAAGGTAAATGTTTCCCAAGGAAAGTTCTTGGCTCTCTCTGTCTCTCTTTCTGTCTCTCTATTCTTTTTTCTTTTCCTCACAAAAGAGACTTTTCCAGAGATGGGAAAGGGAGTGCAAAACAAAGAAGCAAACAAAGAACTTGGAACAGTCTATGCCAGGACTCCCACTAGTGCTGAGAAATGCCAGTTCTTTATTAGCTGTAGCTCAGCTTCCCCTTGCAGGTATTATGGCCATGGCCGCGTGGCACCCAAGCACAGGCTGCCAGAACGCCTGGGCCCAGACTGAGCCCCAAGGGACTAGGTCCAAGGGCCTTGTGGGGAGGAGCTCCACTGCCACCTGGCCCATGGGAAGGGAAAGCAAGCCTTGGGGTCAGCAAACTGACCCCAAGTAGATCTAATTATGACTGCTTACTTCAAAAAGAGGATTTAACTCAAAGCAGATTTATAGCAGGGCAGTTTCCAAAGGCAAGAATCCCAAACCTGACCTTTGAGAAAATCCTACAGGCTTCACTGCCCCGCGAACGGGACAGGCCAGTCACTGCTGATGCCTCAGGTCACAGAGAAATTCCGAGATGCCAGCTTAAATTACCAGAGTCATAGTGGGTGTATAAGTTAACAAACAAGTATGTCAAGGTGTGCCCACCATGACATACACACTGGTGGGCAGTCAGGGGATAGATCAGGGGGGAAAAATAGACAGTAAAAAATATGCAACATTAAAGTATAACCTGTTGAGTCAAAAAATACTATTTCAAAACTTTGAAGTGGTTTTATCATTAAGTGAGAGCCAAAGGTGTCTTCATGAATTCTTATAAAAAACATGAAAGTTTGGTGACATATCCCAGTTGTGCTGATCAAAGTATCAAAAGCATCTTAAGGTAATTTTTTTTTAATTTACTTTGATTTTTAAAAACCTTCTGCATAGCACTTCACTCAGGGGATATGGTTGTTGTAGTTGTCTTAGTAAACTTAACTCCAAAAAAGGGATTGGAATTGTTCAGCATGAAGTTGATCAGCATGAAGTTAGTAAATAAACACATCTGGGATAGGCTTATTGTATAATTGATGTAAAAGTACTGCTTGAACTGTTCAATTACTCTCACAGAACACAAAAATTAGGAAAACAAAGAAAGAAAGAAAAGGAAAGAGCCTGGGTAGTTCAGTCTCTCTGATCCAGACACTCCACGTAAGCCGACACCTCTGTAAGTGAACTGGTGCCACTTCAGGCATTGGCCTTAAGTGTGCAATTAGAGAAAAGCAATGTATCTGGGTAATGAAATAATTTACAAAGTGATCGGGAAATAATTAATCCACACAGGTGTTTTTTAAAATTATTTGATTTCAGAGCTTTTAAAAAGCCCATCTCTAACAAGTTGTTACTTTTTTACTGAGGCATTCCAGCACAGGGGCCTGCTGTAGATGGCTGTAACTGACGCTGCCATTAGAAACTTGTTTGCAATGTCCGTGTTTTAGATTGAGGAGGTGGCATTTATTCTCACTGTTTGGTTACCGAAAATGTCAAATTGGACCATGTATTGGTTCCAACATGAAGCGGATAAGCATGAGTTTACAGAAGCAGAAGAGGGGTTTAAAGAAACCATAGTGAGGAAATGGTGCAGCCATTGTTCTCTTTTCCATTTTTGCCTCCCCAAGGAATGTGCCTCGTCTAATAATAGATAAACATTACCAATAATTTTAGAATATTTAACACAAACTTGCCCTGTTTCATGTTTTTATTTCCTCTCTTATTGTGATAGCTTTTTCTGGTAAGTAAACTATTCTGGGGAAACCATATCTCTTTATTAAGTAGATAATAAAGCTGGAATTGGTAAAGCTGTTCCTGAGTGGCCTTTTTTAAAAAAAATAGTTTTTATTTTTCAACTACAGTTGACATACATTATTATATTAGGTTCAGGTGTACACCCCAGTGATTAGACATTATATATGTAACTTACTAGGTGATCATCCTGATAAATCTTGCACTCACTCGGCATTATTGACTATATTCTGTATGCTGTACTTTATATTCCCATGACCTTTCTATAACAATCAATATGTATTTCTTAATCCCTTTACCTGTTTCATCCATCTGCCCAACCCCTCTCCCATCTGGCAACCATGAAAATGTTCTCTGTATCTATGAGACTGTTTCTGTTCTGCTTGTTTGTGTATTTTGTTTTTTATATTCAGTTGTTGATAGATATGTATTTATTGACATTTTATTGTTCATATTTCTGATCTTTTTTTCATCTTCTTAGAGAAGACCCTTCAACAGTTCATATGATGCTGATTTGGTGGTGATGAACTCCTTTAGCTTTTTCTTGTCTGGGAAGCTCTTTATATGTCCTTTGATTCCCTGAGTGGCTCTTAATTTGCAAGCCTTATACACAGAAGCAGACACGCTTGGTAGCTCAAGGCATCAGGATTCAAGTCATTGGTTTCAAAGACTGCGAAATTCACAGACATACTATTCAGCTAAGGGAAGAAAAAGAAGAGAATAAACTAAAAAGAAGATGCTAAAAAAAAAACTGGGTAGCATAGAGCTTGTCAGTTTGGAGTCTGCTTCAAATGTGGCAATCCCTGGTCTGAGAAAAACTACCTGCAGGGATACATAATCAAGGCTCAGCACACTGTTTTGTTTTGATTTTGATTTTTTACATTGTTTTAAGAGTTTTAAACCCTTAGAAAGTTAGGCAGATAGTTCTAGTCATTAAGTAATTTATATACAACTGAATATTAAGAGTTTCTATACTGGTATTAAGAATGAATAGAATTAATTTTAAATTGTTAAGTTTAAAAATTTGCCTTCCTGAATAAGTCGATTTCAATCCCAAAGAGAACAAGTAGAGTATTTCAAATAGAAGGCAATTAGTGGAGAGGCTTTTCTAATGTGGGTGTTTCATTGATCAAGTTCAAATATAATCTTCCTGGGTTGGTTTCCAGCTACGAAGTTTATGGCTTACAAAATTCTAGTGGGAACATGGAGTCCTACTTACATGCACCCCCAAATATATTCACTTTAATAGTTCCAGATAAAAGCTCATCTCACTCTCCAAGGTCAGAAGCCATTTAGAAATTGGAATCAGACTGGGCACCTATCTGTGGTATCACTGGAACAAAGTCTGGTCCCTGACAGCAGGGACAGAGATGAGGGCGGCAGGCGCCCTCATGCGCCTGGTGGCACATTACCTCTCCCGCTCCTGCTCCAGCAGGTTGGTGAAGTCGTCGCTCTTGTTCATGTAGTCAGTGTGTTTGTGCTTCTCGTTTTCTAACTCGTCCACCGTGCGCCTGTGACACTTCTCTGCCAGCAACAGTTGCTCTAGCATGCGCCGGTAGGTTTCTCTCTGTTTTTCCTCAAGTCTGTCCAGCTGAGTAAGCAAACATGGGAAAGAGCTTAATATTTTACTTTATTTGTATATGACTCTAAATAATTTGTTTACATTGGTCTAGTGATTTATTACCTGAAGGGATATTCTCGGCCATTTTCCCTATTCCATAATTTTCTCTAGGCCTCTTGGCTTTGTAAACTAGTCAATAATAAGGCCGCAGTGGCCTACTGGCCTTATTATTGACTTCTGGCCTACTGGCCCCTGCACTGTGAACATACATATGGTTCCTAAACTGGCAGGAAAACAAAGTCTTTCACTGTTTCATGAGATGACACAAAACCCTCTAGCCAGAAAGAAAGAGGGTAACATCCCTCCTGATCTCAGGTAACAGAAGAGCTCAGCATGTACATGTGCCAAACTTCTACCCTGGGAGGTCGTTATCATCATCAGAATCTTTTTTTTTTTTTTTTTGAAGGTTTGCAGTTAAATGCATTTCTAGGAAAAAGTATACAAAGGACCTACTATCCTCTTTTTCAAGAGATGACAAATATAGAGAGGATTTCAGAACTTGTGGAGAGCCCAAATCTCAGACTAAAAGAGATCTTATCAAATATGATTGCAGGGCTTTGTGCCGAGTTCCCTGGCCAGACTATAAGATCTTTAAGGGGTCATGCGCTAATCATCCTTTTAGTCCCTAGTGCCTAGCACAGTGACAGGAACAAAGTTAAGTGTTCAGTAAATGCTTGTTAAATTGGATCAAATCTTACAATATTGATAGTTCCCTATCCTATTCTCCTCTTCAAACTCTATTACAGGGTTTCTCAACTTCAGCACTACTGACATTTTAGGCCAAATAATTCTTTATTTTGGGGGGCTGTCCTGTCCATTGGAGAATGTTTAGCAGCCTCCCTGGCCTCTGCCCCAAAGAGGTCAGTAGTATCACCACTGGTTGTAACAAAACTATTCCCAGACATCACCAAATGTACTCTTGTGGGAAAAACTGCTGACTTCCCCCTAGTGGAGAACCACTGCTCCCTAAATATGTTGAAGCAGACATATTTAAAACTCATTCTCAACCCCACAACCAACTCCCTAAAACCTAAGGGGTTAGCTCCACAGGGCATCAGCATCAGAGCTGTTCCTGCTGGGTTTTCCATGTTTGCCTTTCAGTCATTGGAAGGATCCAAGGTTCCCTCTACAACTGCATGTTTCTGTTGTGAATGGGTAATTTCTAGTGCCCCAAATGAAACAGATACTCTCCCCATAATATTCAGTGCCTTCTGCCTAGATCTCCTAAAAGCAAGTGAGCAGACAGACTGCTGAAGAAGCCCAGATTAACTGGTGGCTGATAATATTTGAGATCATCAAGGATTAACAAATTGTACTTTTATGGGTCTGGTATATTTCTGCCATCCTAAAGGGATAGCCTGTAGAAGGGATTTTCTCATAGCTTCACATTACAATATATTCTCCCCAAGGACTCTCTCATTCTCCTACAAATGTGGTTTTTCACCATGTTTTCTAGAATTTGCCAAGCATTGTTGAAACATCAGCATCCTCCTCCTCCTCCTCATCAGAAATGTAGAAGGAGAGACTCTCCCTTTTTTGATCCTTTATGATAGCATAGGACTATCCATGCTTTTGAAAGTATTTGAAAGAAAAGTTTCTGTCCACTTCCTCATACCCTCCTGGCTCCTCACTAAGGAGGGAGGAGTGACTTATATTACCATTTGCAATAGGGAACTGGAGATAAGCAGCTGAAACTTTTCATTTCTTATTTTTGACTCTGCTTGTCACAATATGATACATTGTGTTCTGTTGGCCCAAGATCTCTCTCAAGTGGTTTCTCCAAAGTTTAGGAGGGGAGGAAGTATAAAAAGCCTGGTGAGGTAATTTATTTATTTGTACTAATAATAAAGCTAAATATTTTAAGTCATCTGTCAGACTTTTGCAGTTATCCCTCAATCCATTAAAGGAACCATGGAGGAGCCAAGGCGGATGGGAGCATTGTTAATTGGATGGTTGAAGGAGACATCCAGGTAGACATTGTAGGAATATCTAGAGAGAAAAAGAGCACATATTGCTATTTGGCGTTCTGGGGCAGCCTGGACAAAAGGTGGACCTTAGCCTTAGTACGTTCTATCCACGTGGGCCTTTGAAACAGCTATGGCCCTGGGGCTAGGCCGCTGGAGGAGTTGCTGGGTTTCTGTGGGCAATTTTCACCTCACCTACACTAGCTGAGCTTGACCTCTAGCGCTGTTGGCCTCTAGCCCATAGGAAGGATGCCGAGACATCAGTGTGTGCTCCATGTTTTTTTGCCCAGAACTACAGACCCATTTCTCTTTAGCAATAAAGCATTAATGTGTGAGGATCTAGCTTCAATGTTAAACTCTGGGTGAAAGAACATACGTAGCAGTGATCAGCTGTGTCAGATCCTTCTTATTATTTTGTTTGTAACTGCATTGAGTTCTTAGGAGACAACTGAGGCGAGCCAAACCCTTGGATCTGTGTGGCTTGCCCAGAGGCTCTGAAGACTACCTCCCATTGCAGTGGGCTCTGCAGATTCTTTATTCATGTACACTGTACCTTTGGCTTTGGTTTTAAGGATCCAAACTGTGGCTCAACTGTAGAGGAATGATACCTTTTACTAATTTCACTTTTTTTACTAAAAGTGAAATGGGCACCTATTACTTTGGAAATACAACTCTCACTGGGACAGAGATGGAAGTAAAATTGAATGAATTCATCATAATGCCAAAAGCCTAAATTTACTAAGGAAAGGGTGTGGTGGAAAAGAAGTGCAAGGCTTTTAGATGGGGAAAAAATTCAGTATGTCTTAGACAAATGATCGTAGTTCAGGAAGTGATTTGAGCTGTTACCAGCAGAAGGCTAACTGGAGAAGTATTAAGGAACTTAGAAAGAAATAAATCTACTTAAGAGGAAACATGAGGTCTTAAAGACCACGCTGGATTTACACAAAAGGGAAATGGATCTAAGTGCTCTTAAAGATAGGGCCATGAAAAGTGAGCTAATTTAGTCACTGTTGAATCAGAATGTATGATCATAGGAGGTAGAGACAGGAGAGCCCAGAAAACAGAGCAATGAGACTCCCCCACAAAGAGGGTGTTGGGATCCCAGAAATGTTTCAAGACCGCAATAACTATTCGAACTGGTTACATAAAATGTTTAAGCATTAAAATCTGAGAATATCAGGGTAGGATATTTGAAATATTATTTGGTGAGTTTCTCAGTGTCAACTATTTACATGGGCCCTGAGTGAACATGCTCAAGAAACTTGGAAATGTAGAGTTTAAAGGAAAGATAAGACAAATAAGAGGAGATTCAGGCAGGACAGCAGCAGGTATGGACACAACATAGGTGTGGTATGATGGGAAAGCGCTCCTTAGTAGAGATTATCCAACTCAAAGACATAAAAGTAGGTAAGATTTGTATCAAACAAAGGATCCTCTTGGCAGACTCCTAATACCTTGCTGTTACTTCTCTCACTGAGAGAGACCACAGAATATAGATTATGGAAGGCAGTATTAGGAAAACAAATGTCTGGGTCTGAAAACATAGGGAAGTAGAAGCAAGCAAAACAATCAAAACACTTTAAGATCCATAAAATAAGAACAGAGAACAAAGAAAACCTCTTGAAGAAACTGGTCAAAATATTTTTTTTAAAAAAAAAAAGCTCAGCTGAGCCTCCTTACTGCAGAAAAGGCTGTGACAAAAGAAAATATTTCTGTTGCCTTGAGTAGGACAAGCTACTCCAGGATTAGAAAGGTCAAACACGAGGGAAGGTTAAGTTCTGAGAACAGTAACACCTGGATAAGGTATGGTCCTCATTAAATCCCAAGGCACACAAGCTGCAGAAGAGTCTCCCAGGGGAGGGGTCATTCTCCAGCTGAAATAAGGAGGAAATAAGGAAAATCAATGGTAAGAGATGGGTTTTTTAGGCCTGGGTGTAAGGGCTAGAAAAGAAAAAATTAAACAGGTGTTAAATATACAGGTGTAATATTAGAGCACCTAAAAATAAGACCTAGGCACAGAGAATATCACCACTGCAAATCCCTAAACTTCACCAAAAGATGCATTTCAAATGTCTCTCACTGAGGGCAAGGATAGTACTGTATATGCAAACAGATTCTTCCATCCAACATAGGGTTTTCCATATCCCGTAATTATTTACATTTTGATAGTAACAGTCTCTGTCTGATGTGGACAACTGCCCAGACTGACTGGCATTTTATTGTAGCTGAAGGTTTTCTGTATCTGCCCTCTTTTCTTAGACATCTCCTACGTCTCTGCTTTGGTCTTGGAAGGGTAACATGGGTCTGTATTGCACTGAGTTGTAGGGTCAAGGAATGTCATTTTGCTTGACAGAAACTGATCTTGGAGCTGGGAATTTTCTTGAATTTTTAAAATTTCAAGTTGGTACTATGATAAATGCATATGTCCAATAATTCTTAGGACTCTGAAAAAAAATTGACTAGTGGCACTACAGAATTAATTCACCTTTAAAAGTGTTTAAGATTAGGATCCCTCTGGCTAAGGTTAAGGAGAATAAGAATTTGGAAAGGAAAAACACTGAAACCTGAATTTGTTTGGAATTTTGCTTAAGAATTATGAATGTTGATATCCTGAAAGCTCAGGAGGATTTAATACTTGACACTTAATTTCTCCCCAGATATTTGGCAAGGGATGGGGGGTGGGTTCACCATACTGGCTTCACTGCCTCTAGTGAGTTCTATTGAGTAGACTAGCTGGGACTAATTTAGTATGAAAAATTTGAATAAGCCACAAGTTTTTGGCTTGAGGTGTAGTATGGCTTCTAGGAACAAGAGCTAGATTATTTGTTTAGGGTCCAAGGGGGCTAATGGAAAAGTGATGTGTTGGGATTTTTGCCCCATGAAGTTGAAAGCAGGACTCCTGCTCCTGGGTAACACAAACTTGATTGTTAAGCCCAGAAGGCTTCAGAGACCAAGAATCTGTAGATGGTGAGAGAGAAATCTTTTCTCCTCCTAGCATTCTGTTTCCCTCACAAAAACAGGACTTCTCCATTCTGGCAGTACTGGGAATAGAAGCTTCTGTCCTTTTCTCTATCTCCTCACTCACTCTTCCCCAGGGGAAGAATAAACTTTTTAGATTATTTAGAGAAAGAAACAAAGAATCATGCCCAGTTTAGCCAATTCCAAAGGACAACCCACAGGGTAGGTATTTTCTGTTCTGCTCTTCTGTTCAGGAGGCAGGAGCATTTGGGCTACATCCACTTTCTGAAGGTAGGTCAGAAACTTCTTTCTTTGTGTACTGTCCATAAAACTCATGCACTAGAGGCACTGATTCTGGGTAAGTGCATGTGCTCTGCAGGCCTACTGCTCTTTTGAGGGGTCATTCCAAACTCAAGCATGGGAGAAAAAAATGAGGAAGTTCAAATGATACCATTTATCCAAACTGAGTTCTCCAGTTCAGGTGATAATGATAATAAAATAAAACTGATATTTTGACTTCTCTATATCTTTTACTCCTCAAATCCCTCCAAGTTTGGAGCTAATTACAGGTGTGAGCAATTACCAACCTTAGGTCAAAGCACATACCCATGACTAATATTTGCTGGAGTACTGAAAGGGGATTTTAGGAGTACCTAAAATGTATCAGACTCAAAGTTGAGGCTTTACTGGCATTGCTTCATTTAATCCTCACAGAAGTTCTATTATAAGTGCAGTGTTGTTTCTCTCACCTGACAGATAAGGAAATTGAGGCTTAAAGAGCTGAAGTGACAAGACCAAAGCCACACACAGCTAGTAACCATGGATCTCAAACATGAAACAGTATTCAGCCTGTTGACTACATCCTACCACATAATCAGTTCTTAGCATTTTAGGAAAAGATGAGAACAAAACTTCAGTTTATCCTAGTTGCAGAAAGTAGAATATTATAAGACCATCAATTTGTTGTGAATATTGTCTAAAGCAGATCTCATCTGAGATATGTCAAAATGAACTGTGCAAAGACTTGACTAAGTTAAAAGTTAAATTATAATAAATTGGTCAGACTTTAAATTTTTGTGTTCTTTTTCATTTGTGATACTAATTGTACATCTATGAATTTTTTTACATGAATTCTAAAGAGTCAATATGGTTAGATCCATCAACTGGTTCCTTAATTCAGCATCACATTTCTATTTTTAACATATAGCATCAGGGTAATTAATAACAATAGTCAATTGTTCCTAATATAATCTCGTAAAAATTATTAAATTATAGCCCTATTAGATTTCATTTCATCTTAAATAATTGTCTTAAGCATTGCATTGGGATTTTGCTCCCACCATTGTATTTTAGCCACTTGAATGAGATTTTAATTATCACAGAGTTGATTAGATACCAAAGCAGTGGCTTTATAACCATAAATATCAATAATAAAATAAATTTAATTTTAGGTTACCAGTTTGATAATAATCCTGACAACTCAATGCTAAAGCCGATAAGCACTTCAAATTTTACACTCATAATCTCTTAGAGAAATTAAAGAATAACAGTCTGCAAGAGCAGGTAACTGTAATAATCATATGAGAAATATATTTCTAGCTTTAAGTATATTCAAAGAAATGCTTCTAAAATTCTTATCATTGAAGTGTAGCCACAATAATTCATGAATTATTTAATTACAGTTTAATTTTATATTAGTGTATTATAAAAATGTTGCTTTTGAAAAAATATTAAAGCGTGTAAAATGGAAGAATGTGAAGGGATCACTGTGAGGTTCCCTTCCGAGGGGATTGTTGGTGTCATATTTTTACCTCTGAAATTGGTTTCTCGTAGACATCTTCTCCTATGGATTTCTCCTGGGCTAGGATGGCGTCTCGGTGCAGGACCCGCAGCACTTTCTCTGGCTCCGCAGACCCGTAATGAGCCTCCAGAACCTCAGGCTTGGTTTTCTCCGTCTTCAGCATGTGGATCACATCTTCCCTGGCCTGTGGTGGAAAGTGCAGCAAGGTCAGATGGTTGGCAACATAAATCACATGCTGAAGCTCACAAAATCAGCACAGGGCTTATTGAATACATCCCCCACCTCTTCAGGGCGATTGTCAAATTCACTGGGTCTTCTGTTCTTATTTCTTACCAAAAGCAGATTGGCAAGCAGATACTCTGCTTCAGTTGCTAGGAAGCAGGCAGGCAGCAAAGGATTTGTGCTAATATTAACTACATAAAAACTGCTTTTTCTAAGTAGCACTGATTATAAGAGGGGGTTGGACTGCTCCTGGGATATTTACCCCCTTTCAGTGCAGATAAAGTCAATGACAATAAAAGTGTTCTGGTTTTCTATTTATGCTCAGTGTAGTATTCAAATCTGGTTTAAAATAAAACCCTGCTCTCTCCATTCTAGTTATAACTGCATGTGTAATTAACAAAAACAGCCTGTATTACTGATTTCCTGTTTCCCACCAAGTGATTTATTTTGCACAGAAACACATGGTTGGGAATTCACAGGTTGCTGGACTGGGCGTTTCAAATGAATGTATTCACACTGAAGGTGAAATTTAACCCCTTTAACATACAGGTTGTCAATCATGACTCAGGATGGTGGGGTCAGAGTTGTTTGGTTTTTTAGCAAAACTTTTTTAGCATCTTGTTGAAGTTCTTGAGAAAACCACATAATTATAAGCTTTCTATCATATAGATATGGTCCCCGTCACAAAATGCAAATATATCTTGATGTACTTACTACTGGCTAGTAGTGATTATTTTTCTAGTTAAAATGAAGCTGACACCTGCTAAATGTATTCCATCTAGTCATATACTTGTTTTTCCAGTAATGGTGATGGTTATGAAGTATCCTGACTTCATTTTAACTTACACTAAGGAATAAAAAGGTTGGCAACAGTGTTCAGTCTATGACAATGGAACAGAGTCTCTCCCTGTATTATGCTAACTACGGGTTTGAAATTATAAACCTGGCTTATTATCATGGTATTCTAAACATCGGAGCTAACCAGTTAGTCCTGAGATAGCACAGTTATCAAGCTGGTCTTTCTTGAGGGTTTTCACTTTTATTGCTAATTCAGAGTCTCCAAAATAATCTAATTCCAGATGGCTGAAGACTAATTTATTACAGAAACGTCAACGGACTGGAATTTGCAGATTTTCCCATGTTGTTTCTGCCACATATAGTGTGCTCATTTCAAGACAAAAATGGAAAATATTAATTTTGAGGAACCTAGTGGTTTCGAATTAGGGAGATAGTTAAAGTCAGATACAGTTCAGTGGAAAGGCAACGTGCCTCCATGTAGGGTGAAAGGACACAAACATGGAGGTAGTGTCAGGCCAGGTTGTACAGTGTCTTTGCACAAATTAGAAAAGGTGCCAGGAGATGTAGCCCAGAGTGGGAGTGCAGCTTGCCTAGTGAGCAAAGAGTGGGCTGTATTTTGTCCCCTCTGCTAGGCACCCTTGTGGAAGGCACAGCTCCGTATCTGTATATGGTGGCCCTGTACTGAAGGAGCCTAAGGTATGTTCATTGTTATTGGTCTTCAGGCAGGAAGTTCTCCCTATGTTTATCACACGGGTGAATATATATAGCAAATTCTAAAATAACGGTTTTTGAACCTGACTGCTTTGGAATCAGGGGAACTTTGAAAAATTCCAATCTCCAGGCAATCCCAGACCAACTACATCCAAATCTTTCAGGAGAAGGAATTAGGCATTAGTACTTGTTTAAGGTGATTCCAGAGTTGAGAGTACTCTTCCACACTAATCAATTAAGAAACCTAGTAACCATACTGGATACAAATCCTTGGTATTATCTAATCTAAACTTCCCCAGTTTAGTACATTTCCCATCGTCAAGTGCATTTCCTTTTACTGTTCATAGAAAGGTGTTATCACCTTACTGCTCACACCGGAGGTCCACCTTTTGCTTTGGCCAAAGTTGAAGGAAAACAAGTTGTCTTAAAAAAAAAAAAGAAAAAAGAAACACAGGTCTGATTTATCATGAAATGTAAATATTTCAAATTGTCTGCTCCTTGCTCTCCGAAACAGATATAGTAGAAGTTTAAGAAAGGAACAGAATGAAAACAGAACTCAAAATCTTCAGGAAAAAAAAAATTATAATTGAAACATATATACTTGGGTTATTTAGAAAAATATTGAAGGACCAAAAGAAAATGGCTTAGAAGATGGACATTAAAATACTGTACCGACACTAGGGCTGTTTTTATTGCTCCTCTCTGACCTCTCTCCCTCTCGCTCTTGTCCCCTTCCAATCTCCCTCTTTCCCTCCCCTCTCTCTTTTGTTTATTTGTATTTTCTAAATTTTTTACAGTGAACATGTAATTGAATTTATAAAGAGAAACAAAGTTATACTTAAAGAAAAAAGAAATAGTTCATCATTCATTCCTATTTCATATAAATAAAACAGGCAAATAATGTAACAGCTATCTCTTTTTTGAGGTGCTAAATGCTGAGAATGCTGCTTGCATTCTGCTTATAGACAAGCCTATGATAATTGTCTCTGGGGTTCAGCACAAAGAAGGGCGTAAACCCAAATTGCCCACATGATTATTCTATACACTGTTTCTGACATTGTCTTGATTCCTTTTATAATTATTTCAAACACAGCAGCGAAGGCACAGACACAACAGCCACCGAGCTCAGTACGTGTACTAAAAACAGACTGGTGTAAAGATCATAGGTTTTCCCATCTAATGTTTATTCTGATTAGTCACATTCTGACTAGACAGCTGAAGAAATCACAGCAAAACTATTTCCATATGGCATTTCCACAAATGACATCTCTGAAAAAATGTTTGTCTCTAATTGTGGATTGAGGTAATCAGAAAGTGGCTCTCAAATGCAAATCAAATAATCTTGAGTTCATAAATTGTACTGCTAGTTAGCTTAAACTTACATGATCTGAGCACAGAGGAAATTAAAGAAAGCTATCAGGAAAATAAAAATTTAAGTGCACATGGAAATAAAAGTCTCAACATGGAATAATACAGTGAGTCCAACTTTGAAGAAACCCAGAATTCTTTTCCAGTCCCAGCTGTGCTGTGTGATTTGTACAAGTTGCTAACATTGCTTTGACCTAATTTCATTGTCTGTAAGTAGGATTATAATAACTTGCTTGTACAATTATTGTTAGGATGAAATCCAATATCAACATATAAAATACCTAGTACAGAAGTTGGTTCACAGTTGGTGCCCAGTCAATGGTAACAATTTAGTTTCTATTAGGTCCCCATCATTAGATGCTTTTTTGCTGCACGGGGAGAAAAGAAATTTTATAAGATATATTTTTCCCTAACTAAATATAGCATTTAGGACTGATATAGTTTAACAGTCTAAACATTTCAAAATTTGCCCTTAACATTTTTTGAAAAAGGAATTTTTAAATCATAACAGCCTCTTTCCAAAAGATATTTACTCTCCCTGACTCAGCCACCTTGTCTATAATATAGGGACACCAGCCTCTCTGCGTCACCGGGACCATGCAAAGCTCTAACGAGGTAGTGTAAATAATGAGCTTTTAAAACTGTAAATAGGTAGCTATTTCAGTTTAAAAGTTTAAGCCACTCAGTTTAAAAACATGTCAATATTGTTGGTATTTATCTTCTTGACCAACTCATCCTATTTACTAGAAGAAAACAGCTTCTTTCTTTCCAACTGATGTGAAACAGCTAATTCTTCTTTCCCAAACAATGCGACTGTGTTTGAACTGTATTGTAATATGTTACATATACTACACATTTTATTCTTATTGGGTTGGCCAAAAAGATCATTTAGTTTTTTCTGTAAGATGGCTCTAGTAATGCTTAGTTGTCTTTAACTTCATTTGAAAAAATTTTTGCTAGATTATATTGTGACAATTGTCATATCAGCATGTATTTTTTTAAAAAACCAAAATTTGTGAATTTTGGGGTGGGGGAGAGTGGTAGAGGGAAAATGGAGACAACTGTACTTGAACAACAATAAAAAAAATTGATGAATTTTTGTGTAGCCATTTTAATATTGAAGATGGAAGAAAATATGAAACATTTTTGGCATATTACGCTTTATTATTTCAAGAAAGGTAAAAATGCAACTGAAATACAAAAAAAAAAAACGATTTGTGCAATGTATAGAGAAGGTGCTGTGTGACTTATTGAATGTGTCAAAAGTGGTTTTGAAGTTTCATGCTGGAGATCTCTCGCTGGACAATGCTCCACGATCAGGTGACCAGTTGAAGTTGATAGTGATCAAATCAAGACATTAACTGAGAACAATCAACATTATACCATGTGGGAAATAGCAGACATATTCAAAATATCTAAATCAATGAAGTCATTGGTGAAAATGAAAACTGTGTCTTTTATTTTATGAATAAACAAGATGGACTTGTTGGACAACTCAATAGTTTAAAAACTGTGGACACTAATTACCAAAGAAAAAGATGCTATGGTGATGTAACACTGTGCATTATATATTTAGAACCACATTATTCATCATGAATTTACTAAAAGCTTTGTATTTGCTTTAGTAATAACAATGTAAGTAAAATAGCTGTTGCCTATAAATTATTGCTAATTAAAATAGTTTAGTAAATCAATCTTGTGGTGACTATTTAATCAATGGGTTAATAAAGATGACTATGTGATCACAACTAATGTTTACACCACTTTAAACATGTGATTCAATCTATGTAAATAAGATCTTACATTTTGGGGATAAAACCACTTTTCATCTCTTTTTGGAAACCTTGTAATTTTTGTATAAAAGAATTACAAAGGTAAGAAAATTCCTGTCCTTGAACATTATTAGTTTTTACAAAGAAATCTTATCAAAAGCAAGTGATTAAAGTCCTACTATTGTAGGGAGCTGCTAAGCATATCCCTATACTTAAATATACATAAAGAGATCCACAGGGAAGAATACTTTGAAGGCGACTCTAGAGTAGGGAGAGAAAGGGGGATTGAAGGAGAAGAGACTTAATAATAATG